CAAGGTGGCAACACTGCACATGTCAGCGAGTGTCGCACATCAGCGGTTATGACGCATATTTTGAGCAAATTTACAATTCCATTTTAAAAACTAACGAGCTAAAACAAAATGCATTTAAATTAAAATACTCACTATTTATTATAAGACACAAGGAGCCGCAGTAGAGGTACAAAAGAGCCGCGAGTTGCTGACCCCTGACCTAGACACATCATCCTAACGGCACTGGTGCTTCTACTATTACTTCCTGTGGTCTCATGAGCAGTTACACTGTGATTCAAGCCTCTCATGCAAAACTTTGTCTGCACTCGGGGTCCCTGAGCTCCATCTTGACAACCCTACCTCAGCGTATCTTCATCCCCATACTCCTTTGTCCTACATAGTGACAGTGACAACCTAAAACAGGTCAAACTAGAGGACATGTTTAATACTTCCTGTCAGTCTCGCCTACACTGCTGGCAGCGGTGTGGATAAACCAAATCTGCAACAAGATGTAGAATAGCTATGAGCCAAAGTGGCCCCATTTACAATAGTGACAGTCAATTTAATGTAAGCTCAGGCTACCAGCTACAGCGATGTCAGATTAAATTGCTAGTTTGTGCTGTAAATATCACATGTGGATGCACAAACAGCAAACTGTAATCAGTAACCGGGACAGTAGCATTTGTCATGTGTACGGAGATATGAATACACAGATTCCTCTGCGCTCCGTGTTAACGCCAAATGCGATCAGAACTGGGATAAGGAGCTGTGATACTGGTGTGCATGTGAACCCAATCACTGACATCTCAAAAGCTTCAAGTGCTGCAGGAGTGAGCATGCTGCTATTTGTTTGTGTATAAGGAATGCCCTTATCACTTTTGATTACATCTACTGTGGCTCTCCTATGGAGGCTATAATAAAGGCAATGTACTAGAATGTAAAAGTAAATGTGCCATATGTGGTAGTAAAATTAAGCAAAGCATGGAAAGTTTATTTATGAAGCCCAATTTATACCCAAGAGTGTGTTCTCGTACAATAAAAACATAAAACTACAAGTTTAAAGCCTAAACAACATGATCGAATGCATTTTCATTTACAGTTTTCTGATGTCCTGCTGAGGTAAATAGCAGGAAGTTTTAAATTACACCTTCGCAAGTGCGCAATCACGAGTTTCTTCTCTTTGTTGCAGTATTGGAATCCATTTTTAAGTATCTATTCAGTATCTTCTTTCAATTGTGATGTTTCGCAGTTGGGTAAACAGTTTTTTTTATGGTAGAGTTGTGGTTATTATGACTTACTCTGTGGAATAATGCAGGTAAACTTCCATTAAGGAGAAAAAAAAGTGCTGTTATGCTGTATTTTTACTGTGTACGTTTGTATTTTCCATTCAGAACACTGTATATATGCATATTAGGCCTCGGATGTCATCTATGATTTCTGTAATAGTGACATTATTTATAATTATGCTCAATTTTAACCAATGATTACGGTTTGCTTGCTGGAAATTCAACACACATACTTAGTGTCCTTATTTATGACTCCTTGTGTTGCTGCTTTCACACAATCAATACATGCAAACCTAATGAATGAGGAATTTAATCGAGTTCGTGACTATTAAAGGATTTTTTTTTTAAACAAATGAACTGTATCTTGCGGTCAGCTGTTTCCAGAATAGGACACCTCTTTGGGTTGCCAATAAGGCTGTTGCTGCTTGAGTTGCTCTGTAAAATGTGGTTCTATTATCGGGTCCATTAAGTATACCTCTGTGTAATGATACTCCACTCACCAGCGTTTTTCTCTCGACCCTTCTCCTAATAACCCCTTTTACATTTCATTTTCATTATTTAGCGGGCAGCCCTTCTCCTCAGCCACTTACATTTTGTCAGTGAAAGCCCCGGGTAGCAGGTACATGTCATACAAGCAGGGAGCTGGTCTTAAAAAGTTCATTTTAGTTTCGGGGACGGGGAGGAAAGCGCAGAGCTAAAGTGATCCATGCGGTGCTAAAGTGTGTCAGAGCAAAGCTGAATACACCACAGAGCCTCTGTTACAGTTTGTTGTTACAGTCTGTTGTCGTTTTGAGCGTCTTGTGTTCTTACGTAAGATATCAGTCATGCTTATGGACGCACAAGGATGCTGCTCAACACCAGTTATGTTGTAAGAAGAGTGAAGAATGTTGTTGTTATTGTCATGGCTGGAGCACAGTAATAAAGATATACGTGTCATTTACTACAAGATTTTATTAAAGTTCTTCTGGCAGTAAAGAAGGAAAGTGAGAATGCTTTCAAAAATAATTTATCATTTAACTCCATACAAAGGGCAGTAAACAGAAAAAATCAAATCAGTATTCGGTGTCGCCTCCTTTGCTTTTGAAACAGCACCAATTCTACTAGATATACATGTGCACCAAGGTTCTTGGTGCACATGTATATCTAGTAGTAGGTTCCTCTCATATTGGGCAGGATTGCGACAACACATCAACAGTAGGGTAAAACTAAGCTGTCTCACGACAGTCTAATCCCAGCTCACGTTCCCTATTAGTGGGTGAACAATCCAACGCTTTATGAATTCTGCTGGACAATGATAGGAAGAGCCAACATCGAAGGATCAAAAAGTGCTATGAACGCTTGGCCTGCTTAAAACCCCAAAAAAAGTCAGAAGGATCGGTGTATTTAGGCATGTTTACTTCTTCATTTAAACATGTTACCTTTAGATATTGATCAACACTGTGGTGATATTTAAATGTAGTTAAAGTTTGTTATATTAGTTTAGTTATTTTCTTTGATTTTCACATCATGCACACAAAGCGTCCAACTATCGTGGGTTTACAAGACAACAAAAGCACAGTGGCATAAGTCCAACACTACTTCTATTGCATTGCAAAATCACAGGTTGTTTTACCCACCATCCTGAAGCAAAACTCTGGCTTTTCATCAGTCAACACAAACGGAGGACATTCTACTAAAATGTGTCATCGTAGGATAGCAACACAAAACTTCCAAAACTCACCCTGCAAACTGTCTTCTGTTGTGGCATAAACTCGCCTTAACGTCACTGTACACATCTTTGTCTTTTCTTTAAATCACATTTCACACATAGCAGCTATTCCTTATGAGATGATGCCTTCAGAATTTCTGTTCATCCATGTGACAACTCAACAGAGCATTTTTCTCCACACATGAGATGCATTCTGCTTCCAATCTCCTGGATATCACAAAATAACCTGATTGAAAAAGGTTTTATTGATATCATATATTTGTATTTTATCTGGACTAAATGACTTATGCGGCTCCATTCGGTGACAGATAAAGGCCTCATTTCCATAGAAAAGATCCACGTGGTTCTGGGATTTGCAAGTAACCAGAAATCCTAACTTTGGATGAATGCAATACTTTTTTTTACCAATATGTCAATTTTACTTTGCATTAAAAGTTTTCCTTTGCTTGGAATCAGATTTTTCTATTACTGCCCAACTTAGGCAGCCATTACTTACCACAGTGGTCAAAGTTTTTGATGAATTCTATCAAAGTGCAGGCTTATGACACATAGATGAGATTAATGGTCAGGTCAGGAGAATCTGCTGAGCACAGCGTTTACACTCTACTCTGTATTTAAAAGATTTACGATTGAAAACCAGCCATACGCACTTCTCAGTTTATGCTCCTCTCTTAGATTTAAATGGCAAAACTTCCCAATGCGAGATCCGTCATAGTTCGTTTCCAGTGGAGAATTCTGGACTTTAATAACGAAACGCTCGTTGGCAGAAATGAAAAGTTGCGCAACACTTTCTCAATAAATATTTACACATTTCTTCATCTCACTAATCTGTGATGCTCTGCAAAAAGAATGCAGTGTTTGCTGCAGTAGCTTAACATTGCAGGAATTTCACATCAAGCCCTGTATGCTGATTCTCATTATACATTTTCACACTCCAAAAATAATGGTCCTACCTTTTATTAAACAGCTAAACTGCAATCTGTATTCTGTCTTTAATTCGTCTTCGGTATTTTGGCATTTCCCATCTCCTCTTCTCAGTTCCCCCATTCAGCTCAGATTTTTTTTTTTTTCAGACAGTCATATTGGAGCCGGGATATGAGACTATGAAGTGTGATTTATGCACGGTACTTGATAATGGAGCCATGCAAGATGCGACGTTTTCCTCGCCACCCTCCACCCTCCTCCCTTCCTGCCCTGAGGATGCATGAAATTGAGCAGAATGACTCTACTCATCCTTGTATAAATTACTCTCCATATGCTCCACCTAGAAAAAGCTCTTTCAGTGTGCAAAATGACACATTTTTATTTTTTAGACATTTCTTTTCGTGAGGTTTGATGTGAAATTGAAGTGTGACATTTGTGTGTTGTGGCTTGTTTTAAAGGCAAGTGGAGACCTCTCTCTGCTGCTTGGAAAGTTTTTCAGTGAATCAAAATGTGAGAAAAGAAAAGAAAAAAAAAAAGAAATCTATGTCTCCATGCTGCTGTTTTCATTTTTATTGTTTGCTGCTGTGTGACGATGCCAGGAAGGGCCACTTTAAAGCAGCATTCAATGAATATTAAATGGATAAACCTCTCGCCTTTTCCCCGTAATTCCTGCCAAGACGGCAGAGGTTCAACAGGCAGCTTCAAAGACAAATTTCATTACAGCGTCAGAGTCTTGTCTCTACTCATCCGCTGGACCCCACCTTCATCTATGATGCTTATTACTGACAGTAATTTGCCGTCGCATTTATCTCAATCACAAATGGAACCGTAACCTCCCGTGGTGATGTTAAATCGATTTTGCATTTCAGACATAATTTCTGCAGTCATGTAGCTACTCAGAGCCTAATGCACCTGTGTGACAGTGGATTCTGCTTTGCACATGACCCCTTCTCTAGCTGCTGGAGTTACATTTTCCCCTCAGCCTAGAAAAAAAAAAAAACTAAATTGCAGGCCTGCCTGGCAAAGTTAAAACCGTGCACATTTGGACTGTGTTCTGCGGGTGTCAGCCTGATAAAGCTCTCTTCTCTCTCTGTGTGTTGTAGTTCTGCTGCGTGAAGAGGTGGCCCAGCTCCAGGAGGAGGTCCACCTGCTGCGGCAGATGAAGGACATGTTGAGTAAGGACCTGGAGGAGACCCAGGGAGGCTGCTCGGCTGACGTGCTCTCTGCCACCGAACTTCGCGTGCAGCTGGCCCAGAAGGAGCAGGAGCTGGACCGAGCCAAGGAAGCTCTGCAAGGTAAGGACTCCATCGGGAAACAGGAAGCTGGGTGTGCGACTTAAACCACTTATTAATATGATTATAAAAAAAACTGTAGACAATAATGGGCTGCAAGGTGGCTTGGTGGTTAGCATCGTTGCAAGAAGGTCGCCAGTTTGCATCCCGGTGAGGACACCCGGGATCTTCCTGCGTGGAGTTTGCATGTTCTCCCCGTGCAGCGTGGGTTCTCTCCGGGTTCTCTGGCTTCCTCCCACACAGTCCAAAAACATGTTGAGGTTAATTGGTGATTCTAAATTGTCCGTAGGTGTGAATGTGAGTGTGCTTGGTTGTCTGTCTCTAAGTGTAGCCCTGTGATAGACTGGTGACCTGTCCAGGGTGTCCCCTGCCTTCACCCTGAGTCAGCTGGGATAGACTCCAGCCCCCCACAACCCTAGTGAGGATTAAACGGTGTATAGATGATGGATGGATGTAGACAATAATGTTGCAGGACATGTAATGTAGTTTGTTTGTTTCTTTTTATGTCCAATAATTTCTGACCATTAAAAGTAGGGATATAGCGATTATCGGGGTTGTCGATTATCGTGGCCGATATTCAGCAATTTCACAATTATCTGTATCGTTATATTTTATTGACCGATTATTGATAATGATGCAGTCTGATGCAGCCTCCTCTCTGTCTGTCGTCACTCTGTGGCTTCAGAAATGTCTCAAGCAGACACTGCAAAAACTGAACAAACCGTTGACACAAACCAGGAAATTAACGACCATAAATTCTGGACTATAAGCCGCTACTTTTTTCACACCCTTTGAACGCTGCGGCTTAAACAATGATTAATTAATTTATTAACTAATTTATGGATTTTAACGATTTTTACGAATTTGCCTTGAGACAAAAGTGACATTGAAAGCGACAACGAAAGAGAGACTGAGGAAGTGTGTGATGAAGGAATATTGAAGGTGTTCAACTTCAGTGGTTTTAGTGCAGGAGGAAGATGAAGATAGCGATCAATGACTTTTCCTGGTTGGCTGCTGTAGTTTTTATTTTCTTATCCAGCCGTGTTACAGGCACTGTTTGGAAAAAAGCATTTATGGTATTTGTGTATGTTACTGGTATGTATTTAATTAAAAGTTTAAATCTTTTTGTGTAAATATCTCATGTTACAACGTGGACACCTGCTGCTTACAGACAAGTGCGACCTTTATATGTACAAAATGTGTTTTCTTTTTAAAGTTAGTGTGTGCGGCTTACATTCAGGTGCGCTCAATAGTCCGGAAATTACGGTACTCAGTCATTGGCTAAGGCTACGCTAACAGCTAGCAGCTAAATTAGAAGGCAGCCACAGATTAACCTGAAGCAGAGTCTGGAGAACAATAGTTAATAATGCTTTAGGATGTGGACCTTAGTGGGCTATGAAAGTGATGGAACAGTGAAAAAATTAAGAAGAACATCAGACGTAACTACAGGAGACAAACTGATCAACCTCAGTCGATGCCACATAAACAGAGCATCTAAATTGAATCACTCCTGTTTCTATTTTATAAACACAGTTATAGTGACCCTTAAAATAAGGAAGCCTAGTTATGAATGACAGGTTCCCCGCTGTCACATGTTAAACATAACATTTAATGTATATCGGCTCCAAATATTGGCTACAGGCCTTTATTACCGCCCCTGGAAACCCCATATGGGTCAATCCCTAAATAAAAGCAATTAGAATAAAGCTTAAGGATATATGTATGATTTGTTTGGAGCATCCTCAGCATGTGATCATAATGTCCCCGGCTTGATCGTGTGGCTTAATCGGCCCCTTTGTTGCATTTCCTTCTCCCACTCCCCCCCCATATTTGTGGACTGTATTTATTTTCAACTGTATGTAAATGGTTCCAGAGGATTAATTGTCATCTCTGCTCTCTGGCCAGATGTTTACACTGTGAAATTAACACATTCCAAAGGACTTACATGCACAAGATAGTACAAAGCACACGCACACACAGCGAGAAATCATACAACAGCAAAATGCACGAGAACAATTGATTAAAAAGTGTTTGAACGTAAACAGTATGCATGTCGCCATCCACTTACTGTACGTTTAGAAAAAAAAAATCCAATTTGCTGAACAGAGCAAAAAGCAGGTGTAGGTGGGTCTGTCCTGTCGGGTGAACATGTGCAAATTGGAACTATGCAAAGCAGCAGAGCAAAGTGATCCCACTCTCTGGTTTGAAGGATTCTATAATCATTTAGCAGCTTTACATTTTCCCTTTCGCCACTCCCACTCCTCCCGCTGTGAGAAAACCTGCTGCGTTTTACGCTCCGTGGGGCTCGAAACCCGTGACTTTTGTCCTCGTCGCCATAATGCCAACACGAGCGTCTCTGGCAGTGTGGTTAATGCAGCCCATCAGATGCATTATGATCCATTAGCATGTGTTCTGCTTGAGAGATGGCGTAGTGTCTTGGGGTGAGAGAGGGTACAGATGCTTTGACTTATCTCTTCTTTTTTTTTTCTTTCTTTCTTTTTCTAAAAATCTGTTTAAATCGCTATCGGCAAATCGCGATGCTCTGCTCCCACTCTGCGTAGCCTGATGCAACGACAGCAGAGCGGCCTCACTTGTAGGAACAGCTATGGATTCATGAAACAGGATGCTACATCCTAACAGCAAGCTTCACCTACAACCTTGAGTATTCAAAAAGGGCCGTAATTCTTTTTCGGAGCTAATTTAGAGCCATTTATAGTGCAAGTGTCTCTTTGTTAATAAGGAATAATGGCTGAATCTGAGCATGTATTTGCAGAGAAGTGGGAATATACTTACATGTTGCCTTCACACAGAGCGCGCACACGACATAAAGTAATGAACAAGTTCTGCCAGGCAGTGCGCAGTGAATTGCATGGCATCAAGCAGAGATGTCATCAGCGTGGCAGTGAATCATTCTTTTCAAAGAATTATCGCCCATGGAATGAGGCAGAGCACAAAACTACCATTTGGTATCAGACAAAAGCATGACATGCTGTCAGGGGATTTTGTTGCTGCGACATTTCACTTGACACTCGCAGCCTACGCTTTTTGGAAGAATGGAACAAAAAAAACAAAATGGACTGGGGCAGAGTAGAATGGTGCGCACATCAAATGAATACTTATCTCTCCTTGAGCTGGATGTTTGGCTGTCTAAACAGACTGCACACATGCTCATACAGTCATTTGTATGACTCAGGCCTGTTAATGAAGGCCAAAGCCTACCAGCCCCAGCAGGCACTGACAGTAATCAGCGGCTAATGAAAGCTTTATAAAAGGGGACTTTGGCTGGCTTACAAGGTCCAGAAACGTTAAGCAGGGTGGATCTAGTCTGCAATTAAGACGGGGTATGTGGGAGGACAAGAGGAAATTGGCTGTTATGTTCACGTTGGAGTGTGTTCAGAAAGGCAAACAGAAGTGACAGAACTTGAGTGAGAAGACGTTCCTGTTGCTATTTTTCCTTTTTGTGTTCCTCGAGCTGATGTTCAAGTGTAACATTTGGCCAGAGACTGAACCGTGAAAACGCATGCATGTGAAAGCAGCGAGATTTCTGAATTATTTATATTTTTATTGTTGTTTTCCACCTGACCTGGTGTGTGCAGCAGTAGCTGCTTCTCAGCTCTTTTGTTCGTCCACAGTTGTCGCTCCGCATCTTCATGCACTGACTCTGAGACTTGCTGCACAATCCAAAAAAAAAAAGACAAGCATGAAAGAACAGCAACAGTATTTGCTAGCGGTTTCCTTATGCTGTTTGCTTGTGGTGGGTAGCAGCCAGTATAATTTTGGCTTCCTCCTCGGCAATATTTACAGTTGTTTCCAAGCAGGAAAGTGGAAAAAATTCTGTCATCCCACTTTGTCTCATTTTCTTGTTTATGTTGCCTGTCAATGCATCCGTGTTCTGCGCTGCGGATATTGGCATGTGGTTCTGCGCACGGCTGGTGACGTTTATTTCTTTTATATTTATAAGTTCATGGGCTGTAACTGTTGTGGGAAACAATGAAGGTAAAAACGAATGCAGCAGCGAGACAATGAGCAGATTTTTTTTAACTTCTTAGTGTTAAACAGATTTAAGATGGATTTGAGGAGAAATAGCAGCGTGTTTTTTTGTATGTTAGGCATGTATTTGGGTGTTTTGGATGCAGTGCATGAAGCCTCAAGGTATCAATATGCTTCATACAAACTGTCCAACTGCATTTAAAGGGCGCGTTTATACAGTTGCTGCTCACAGGTGGAGTGCCAACATAGAAGGGGTGAGGATGCACTGAATTATACAAATGGAAGTAAGAGCATACATATTCAGTTTGTACGGTTTTTCTGATGTTACACTCAGTTGTAATGTATGCGCTAAAATTTACATAAGTACATGCGAACAATGATTAAAAAAAAGAGGGTTTGAAAGTTGAATTCCTGCCTAACTTTAACACAGCTGCACACCTGGACAGTGGCCGCATAGCACGGCCACCACCGTGAAGCTGCAACAATTGTGATTTTATTCTGACGCTGCAGACAAAAAAAAAACAACTGTATTTGAAGCATACTAACTTTGAGGTTATCTAATTCACTTGTCAATTTGATGCATTTGGGAAAACTCTGGATTCAAAGCACAGAGAAATGCGCATCTTTAATTTGGATGGTTAATTTTGGGGCTTTGAAGGCTCACTTTTGAATACTTTTCCAGTAACAGTGGTCTTAATTCCAAGTTTTGTTTATACTGCATCGCTCCTCAAGAAACCGATATTTAATTATGTGTGCTGTGAAAGTTTCTGAAGCTTTTAACAGCATCCGTACAGTTAGTTTTTGTTTATTTGGGTCTTTTTTTTTTTCAGATTTTTGAAGGGTTTGTATTACAGCAGAAACAGACTCATTAGTTGTTGCAGTTGAAAATAGTTGGGTTTTAAAGTGGTTTCTAATGATGAAAAAAAAAAACATCTAGGCCAAATGTTCTTGAGAATACCTCATTAACTACAGCAATTTCCGTATGCTGCCAATTGATTGGAGGCGAGATGTCG